CTCCAAGATGATGTTGTATGACCTGGGTTGTGTCCCCATGATGCTGGTCATCTGCTAGAGGCTGGAAGCAGGCAACAGCAGCCATCTGCTTCACCCGTTGGGAATAGATGCTGACTTTGATGAAGCTTCAGTTGGTGCCTCCAGTAATACATACAGGCATATTGTCTTAGATCTTAGATGCCCTCAAGGGATTTGGTGTCACAGCCCAGAAATGAGGACAGATGGCCGAAATCTTGACCTTCTCACCTCCGAGAACTCAGAAGATATTGGTGGTCTCACCCCAAATCTCACAAGCTTTTGGTAGCTGCGCTCCAAATTCTGTAGACGTCCAACGTTCTCCCTTGAAGTCTCCTCAGGACGTGAGAAGAACACGCAAGATTCTGGTCCTTGCATGTCGTTTTTTAAAATAATGGTTTAATGTCGCTGCTCTGAAGACACCATGTCTTTATTCTGTGGGCCCTGTGGGTCTGTAGCTTAAGTTTCTGACCCCCTCCTTAACTAACTAATAGAGTTAGTTAATTTTACTATACTAACTAATAGAGTTAGTATAATTTTACAGTCCCCGCTTTCTCAAGGACCCAGTATGTAACTTCACCTATTTAAAAACATTATATTTTATGGCATGTCATATTTGCAACCATTTTAGTCCAAGGTGGACTTCTTTAAACCAGCAAGGACCAAAGTCCATCTGAATCTCCTTTCATTTTTCTAATTCAGAACTTTTCTAAACCATTTGTTTAGTTGGGGGAACAGCTCGTTTTAGCTTCTGGTGCTGGCCATTGCCTTCAACCCTCTCCATGGATACAACCCTCCAAAGAAAATAGATTCCCCACCCCTGGCTAAAAAAAAATAAAATAAAAAAAGGCTTCAGAAGCAAGTCAACTTGGTCCCACCTGCCATGATTCATTGCGAGATCAGCACGAGGTCGTGCGTTGGACAGTTCCCCCGGGGAACGGGCTGTAAAAACGAGGCAGGAGGAAGATGAACACATTTTGCTTTGGCATCCCAACCCCTCCAATGAAAATATCTGTGTTTTCATTAAAAAAAAAAAATTGTGCCAATCCAAATTGCCCCACCCCTCCTAAACATTTCCACTTCAGCCGTGAAGCTATGGAAAGACTGTTTGAATTTCTACTCTTAGCAAGGGCGGGATGTGATGAGGACTTTTTTTTAAAAAAAAAAAAGAAGGAAAAAAAGAAGTTGGCCGGGTGTCGAAAAGGCTGTTCAAATAACTTCTTCTGACTCATTCTTAGTCCTTTGGCATCGAGCGCGTTAACCTTCTTGCTTGACGATCTCGAGGGGTAACGGTTTAGCAATCCCGTTTAGTAATTCCACTGGAATTTTTTCTGGAATCCTGCAGCTGTACTTCTGGAGACGGGCCTCCTGTTACAGAAAGCAGAAGAACTTAAGGAGAAGGACTTAAGCCATTCCAGGGTTTTGCTCTCGTGACAACCCCTCCAGCATAACCACACTGCAATTTCCCAGAACTGTTTTCCCGGCTAGGCGGACCGAGACCCCGGTTACGTAATGTTCAATTCTCTTGTGGTTCGCTTCGTTTCCCCCCACCCCAACATGCTTTCGTTCAACTTGGCTTATCAAGGAACGGATTAGTCAGCTCTGTCGTGATAGAGCATACAATAGTTCCTTTCGTACCCCCCGAAGGATGTCTTTCTTTCCAGAAATGATGTGGGTTCTGGTTTTAGGTTTTAATTCATCTCAGCCTGATGGTATGAGTTGACTTTCTTTCTCCTCTTTTTAATCCTTTGGAAATTTTCCAGGGCAAAAATTCGAACTAGGTCTTTTGCACAAGGAGTCACAGAATGTAGGGGTTGAAGAGACCTTTGGTGGTCACCCAGTTCATCTCCCTGCCCTGTGCAGGAACCCACAACTACAGTATCTTTGGCAGGTGGCCATCCATCCTCTCTTTCAACATCTCCAGCACAAGATGGTCACTAGTCACCTTGAACCATCTTCTCTGTTGAAGAACATTAAGCAAGTTTTGATTTGCTCAGAAAAAATCACTGTTAGAATTTTGAAAGTCGTTCCTGCATTTCCTCTTTTTTGTCCCCTGCTTCCTTCCCAAATTCTTGTCCTTTAATGTTATGTCTGGGAGCAGGGCCATCCTTCGCAGCTCATCTCTATGAGCCAGTGGAAACCCTTTGTCAATTGGAGGGCTAGATGAAAAGTGTAGAAATCAGTAATAAAATCAAGTGCAAACAAGGCAATAGATATCAGATGGGTGGACGTCTAACTAAACAGGAATTCCTTCCTGCAATTGTGAGATAAAATAGTTGTGCTTCTCTTTGGCCCTCTCTGCAAAGGTTCTCTTCCTTCCTGAATTCTCTAAAAGCAAAGAAAAATCAGCTAGGAAAAGAGTCTCTGAAGATCAGTTGGAAAATGGAGAACCCTGGTCAAGTGACAGCACCTAGTTGACTGACAGATCTTGAACAGCCAAGCAGGGTTGAATCTTCTTAATGATCAGATGGGGAACTATCAAGGAATCTCAGAGACCATCAATATAGGAGACCTGAAAAAAAAAAACCCAGGAGAATGGAGTGGTGTATGACTTGCATATTGTTGTGAACAACATCTACAGGGATGTGACAATGAAGCCACCAAAAGTCATGTTCAATTAGAAGGAGGCATTATGTAGACTGGGAGATACTGAAGTGATGGTTGGAGATCTTATGCATAAGAGTTCAAACATTAAGATGAGTAGCAAACATTAAAAAATGTAGGGTATCCCAGGAGGATAGGTATGTGGACCATGGTTCAAGAACATAAGAATAGCTTTCTTAAAACAGGTCCATCTGCTTGGTTAGGTAGGATTATCAAGGTTGGGTTCTCAAAGCGCATTATGCCCAAAGCAAGCAAAACTCCAATTCTAAGTCATAGATTATAACTTACCATGATATATGAACTCAGGTAATGATGGTCGAGTCAATAAGCCATGAGTAACTCAACTATGGCTTAGCCTGTGTGAATCTGATAAATTGCTTGCTAAGTCTTGGATAGAAGGGACCCTTTCCCATCACCCACTACCACTGCAAGGGTACCTTCCAAATGCAAAGGTGGCCGTCAACAACTGCGATGGGAAGTGTAGTCCAGCAATATCTGGAGGGACAGAATGATGGCTATGGATCCATTTTAGACATTCTCCTTGGACTCTCCTTGTCCCCAAGACCTTCTGGATGGCTATGAAGACCTGGGTCTTCCCCCAGAATGTTTTTTCAGCCCAATACAGGTGCAGTTGTGTTGAGAGTTTGCTATGGCACATTGAATGTATTATGGTTATTTTTTTTGTTCCCTGTGTTTGTTCTGTTTAGGACTTGTTTCGAAGTGCTAACTTGTTTTGCTTTTTAATGTATTTTTGTGGATGACTCTGAACTGCCCAGGGTTATAGGTTTAAGATGGGCATCCATATACATTTTCTAAATAAAGAAATGAAGTCCAGCATTGACTGGGGGCTTCTTCTCAGGGCCAATTTGGAGCCATTGATGACTCATGGATTCGTGAGCTTTCCAGCGTAAGTTCCTTGCGAACGAGGTGAAGGAAGAATGATGCTTTGGGTCCCAGAATAATCTTCTGGAAACAAGAAAACCTTTCATTCACTTTGACCAAAGCCAAACAGAACGTCTTTTGCAGGCCCAGATGCTCAAACAGCATTTTTATGTTGTAGACTATTTCGTATTCCCAGCTTTCGGCGTGGATCTTTAGCAAGCTTGGCTTTCATCATAATACTAATAATTAATTTATTAAATGTATATGCTGCCCGACTCCCAGCGGCTTTGGGGGGGGGGGTTGTCCTCTCTGAATTTGACTCCTTCTCCGTCATGTTGGATTCGGCCCTGTCCTTTTCTCTCCCTCCGTCCTTTTGAGGAATCACTTTTAGCATTCCTCCTTTGCCTTGCGTTAGTTTCTCCTTTTTCTGCAATCACATTTGCCATCTTTGACTGATGTCATTAATGTCCTTGTTTGATTGCTGCGAGCCTCTTGAGTTGGGTGGCATACAAGTTCAATGAATTATGATTGATCACCCAGTCAGCCAGCTGTTTAGACTGGATCTGGCATTTTTGTCCCCCTCTCGAGTCCTTCCCAAGGACCTGGGATAGGCAGATGTTGTTTGATGGTGTTAAAGGTATCATCTATTATTATTATTATGGTTGGTCACACAGTCAGCCAGATGTTTAGCCTGGATCTGGCATTTTTGTCCCCCTCTCGAGTCCTTCCCAAGAACCTGGGCTAGGCAGATGTTGTTTGATGGTGTAAAAGGTATCATCTATTATTATTATTGTGGTTGGTTGCCCAGTCAGCCAGATGTTTAGATTGGATTTGGCATTTTAGATAGGCAGATGTTGTTCGATGGTGTTAAAGGTATCATCTATTATTATTATGTTTGATGGTGTAAAAGGTATCATCTATTATTATTATTGTGGTTGGTTGCCCAGTCAGCCAGATGTTTAGATTGGATTTGGCATTTTATCCACCTATCGAGTCCTTCCCAAGGACCTGGGATAGGCAGATGTTGTTTGATGATGGTGGTGGTGGTGGTGGTGGTATGATGATGATGATGATGATGATGATGATAGCAAAAGCAGTGGCTTAAAAATAACCATCAAGACCCTTTTCTTTCAGGTGGAGAGCCATTGGGGTTTAACGAACCCTCTGACCTAGCTTGAGTCATTTTGCACAAACTCTTTTCGGGCTCCCCTTCTCTCCTCTTTGGAAAGCCGCCAGAATGAAACTTTGCTTCGCGCGGCTGCTGCTTGCTGAGAGCCGGAAGGGTGAGCGAGGGCACCCAGAGATGTTTTTCCCCCGCTAGGAATTTCCCAACAGTCTCCTTCTGGAGCTGCAGGGTTGACCCTCTTGGTCCCCGCGAACGGGACTCGCAGGAGTTAAGCGTGTGCAGTGGGCGGTCTGTGCGTTCCTGATGTCACGCCAACCGCTGAAGGAAGGCCTTTGTTGGCAATTCAATCTTTGCAAATCAGCGTCCACCGAGCGCCTGCCTCCCCAACGGAGGGATGGGGAAATTTAGAAGCTCCAAGTAACTTATCTTCGGGTCTCTCCCCCCTCCCCACTTTCCTCTCTCTCTCTCTCTCTTTCTTTTTTTAAGCAAACTTCTCTCCTTCTTCTCCCACGGAGCCACTTAAGAATCCTAGAGAATGTAAAGTGGAGGAGAAGGAGCTCCTAAGTTTTGGGGAGAGGCGCGATGGAACGTGTCAAAAATGGATGGTCGGCTTTGATTCTCCCGAACTAACGGTTTTCGGAAGGCTGGATTGGTCGTGCTTTTTTTCAGAACAAAAGAGAGGTTTTTTTGGCCTTGAAGTTTAGGGAGAAGAGGAGGAAGGCGGGCGCGTGTGGGGAGAATCGGGGTGGAGGTCTTCCTCTGACCAATGAAAATGTTGGAGATTTGCCTGAAATTAGTTGGGTGTAAGTCGAAAAAGGGGCTCTCCTCGTCTTCCAGCTGCTATTTGGAAGGTAAGTCCAGAGCTGCAGTGGTTTAAAAGTAGATCTTTCCCCCTCTGTTTTGGTTTAGGCCTGTAGTTGGTCTCCCTGTCTGGAGCAGGGAGTCCTTGTAGAAAATTACACCGTTGTGTATCTGGAGAAGAATGGCTCCTTTTGGGAGGGGGCTGAATTAGGAACTTTCAAGGTCCTTGTCTCGAAGTTAGCTGGCACTATTACTACCTCTCCTCCTCCTTCTCTTTCTCTTTCTCCTTCTCCTTCTCCTTCTCCTTCTCCTTCTCCTTCTCCTTCTCCTTCTCCTTCTCTCCAATCTTGCAACATGGGGAGAAGGTAACGTCATATTCTAGGTGGGATCCACCAGTTGGCCAAGCCAGGTGATTTCTATTAACTGCAGCCCGTGAAGAAACGTGCCTGTTTCTCTTCCATGTATGGTTGAAGAATATGGAGAAAGCTGGCTGAGAAATACATCAGCATGCCATTGGGCGTCTTAGACCCATGTCCCAGTTGGGTGGATAAAGAGGATGAAATCACTTGGAGCTTCCAAGAAGAATTTTTAAACAAGGTTTCATCTTGGGGAAAAAAAGGGCATTGATTTTAGCCAAAGGATAATCTCTGTAAGGCAGAAAACGGCTTTGGGGGCATATTTGTACAGCGATGGTTGCTTTGAGCTTCATGTATTTGCATGCCCAATTTAACATTCCCTTCGAATTTCCATCTACGCAAATTCTTTGGTATTTATGATGGGGCTGAGTGAACTTCCAATCCACGTAAGCGTGAGGACCACGGAGGAAAACATTTGTTTGGCCTACCTCAACAAAGGGAAGGATTAATAATATTAATTATGGCATTTGTGTGGAATGTTGACCATCAGATGTTTGTTGTAGCTCTGCCACATACTTTCCATTTGGACTTGGTGAAGTCCCTTAATCGCATCATTGCAATGCTCTGTTTCTGCAATAGGCAACCATCTGTATTTTCCAAATCTAGGAGGGTTTTTTCCCCCCCCTTGGTATTGTGCTTAATAGCTTTTGTTTTTCCAGGATTTCAGTGGTGGATTAGTCAGGAGTTCTGGATGGTACTCAAATGCAAACATCATGACTGCCAAGAATTTTTCTTGCCTGTCAGTTTTGAAAGCAGAAACAAGTCCATGTGATTTTTCTTCAGCCAGTCAGCTCTGTTTGTCGCTTGAGCATCACAAGAGGGCTAGAAAATCCTCTATGAAATTCAGACGTTTGAAGAAGGGGTCTTAAATGGTCAAATGAGCCCCTCTATTTGTAAATGTTTCTGAATCAAAAAGCTATATTTTCTTGGTGATCTTTGAGACCTTGGTGGTTCAACCCAAAGAAAAGAACGTGTTTTTACCTCTCTCAATTTCTACTTTCTCAGCTAATTTTGCTTTAAGGAGGGTTTTTTCTCCCTCCCACTGTTATATCATCTTTATTGTACTATCGATTACTTAGGCCTTCACCTGCTGGTAATCAGATTTAAAAAATGTTTATTGAAAACAAAAGTTGTTCAAGCAACACCTCTTTCAAGCAGTGTGAAATCTGAGCCATGCAGATAGAAGTTATGAGAATTCTACCATTGTCCTCACGGAGAAACGTGTTGGGACATTTTCTTGTAGACCTTTAGGGACAGTTGGATGGCCCACAGTTAAGGGGATGATGGTCCAAGAACTTTACACCACTTCTGTAAAATGGGGGCTATTCCCTGCCCACCCATTTTGTAGGGTTGGTATGGGGGAGGGAAGGAGGGGAGAACCAATGACTGATGAGAATCTCTCCATGAGCTAGATTTAGACCTTGGATCCTGGCTTCTGATTGCTAGCATCATCGGATGTTGGCTTTCCGATGAAGAATGAGGCCAGCGGTTCGATCTTACTTTAATTGTAACCTCCTTTGAACTCCCTAGAAGTTTGCATCTTGCAGTCTCAGATCTGATTCAAGCCTTAATGACGTCATCTTGTTTGTCCTTGTTTCTTTAGAGCAGCATTTCCTTCATCCTTCTCCTTGGCTAGAACCAACAGAATAAGGAAATGAATGAAAAATGCAGGGATATATATTTTTTTTAAGTCAAGGCAGTGGTGAGAAGAGATAGAATTGCCGTTCCTGCTGCTAAGACCAGCAAGAGCTATGTTAACAAGAAAAGTTAGTCATAAAAATGTGGAGGTTTGCCTAGACAAACCATAGTAGATAACTTATGAGAAGGCTCATGGTTTGTAGATCATAAAAATGTGGAGGTTTGCCTAGACAAACCATAGTAGATAACTTATGAGAAGGCTCATGGTTTGTAGATCACAACCTGGCAAATTGCAGGAGGTAGGGAATATATAACAACAGGGGAAAAGTCTAGAGTCATTGCCTACCCTAATGGTTCTTGGAAGCCTAGAATGATGACCTGGAGGATGTAGAGGAATCCTGGTGTTTATCCAGGACCAGGAGCTAGGCTTCCATCATCATAAAACAGCAGGAAATTAGACTCCCAATGGTGGGCTATTGTCATTGGCAATTAGAAAAAAGGGGTTAGCAGATGAAGATGGATCACATTACCTATCTCAGATTTGGGTTTTGATAAACTTGGACCCTGAACATGGATCCCTCACACCCTTTCAACATGTTGACTTGCTGCTTGTAGAGACTTTCTGAAGGAACTAAATAAGTCTGATTTTTGCCTGCTTAGGACCTCACCTGTCCTTCAACCTTGATTCAAGAAGGCTTCCAATGATCTCCAATTTTTGGAAGGGTGTTATCTCATGTAGCATCTGTCCCTTGGTTGTTTGAAGGCCCTAAACGTCTGCTTCACTTTTGTAGGGGGACCACAACGTAAGAAACATTGAATAAGCGTGTGAGATACTCTGGATTTGATTGCAAAGAGGTTTCAGAAAGGGTGGGGGTGCACAGAGAACACCCCTCTGCAATTCTCTGAAGCAACTGCAGACTTCACTCTTTCTCCTGAGGTTCTTTTCCATTTGGTGCAAGGAGTTGCCTTTAGAGATGAAAGTATTTGCAGAACTATTGTGTTTCACAAATCAAACTTCTTTTCTTAGTTTGTTCTTGACTGTATGGGGTCGATCTCTGGAAGTTGAACAGCCAAACTTCTTTGCTTGGATTCACTTGCCATTATGAAATACCTATTCTTTTTTTTTTTTGGTAAATTCTTCTGTATTCTCTTGTGTATTTTTTTTTGTGTATCAACACAACATTCAACTTCCATTTTTTCCCTCTGTGTTTGGCAGTACTGATAAACTAGCTATGATTACTTGTTGTCATTGCTTTCAACTACTTTTTAGTCAGACCTTCAAGAAAACTTACAAATCCCTATTTTTTTTTAAAAAAAAAAATGACAACAAAGCCTCACTTTAATGGACTAATGGTGTCTGTTAAATCAGAGTGTCTGTTAAATCCAGATGGGATTTTATGGAGGTATATTTTACATATTTTATACATGCAAAAAATGGGCATTGGAGTTTATGCATGCATATTTTATCTATTTTACGCATCTTGCACGTGCATAAAATAACATGTGCAGAAACATATAATACATATAATCCATCTATAATAGATTTTGACTGTTTAGGTGCCTGCTAAATGGAGTTCTGTTAAATCAAGAGTTTGCTGTTCATATAAAACAAATTCCTGGGGAAGGAGCAGAAATCTTATTTTGCTGATAAACAGAAATCAAGCAAGACCATTCTGGCATCTTAAAGAATAGCAGCTTGATTGTGGCAAAAACTTTTATGGACTAGAGTCTGCTTCGTGCATCTAGCTTGATGAATGTCAGGTTGAGAATGGCAAAGTCAAGTTGGAATTGGGAGTGAGTTGAGCTGTGCACGTGAGTGAATTAGAGAGGGGGAGACCATGTTGACAGCTGTCTCATATTCACTTTGAAGGATATTACTTGCCAGGTATAAAATCATAGAACATTAGGGCTAGGAGAAACCTTGGGGATTATCTAGCCCATCCCCTGCCTGGTGTTCACCAGTGTAGCATCAGTGATACAGTGAGAATATGAATCATAGAGCTTGAAGCAGTCTAAATCCATCTTCCTCTCTTGAGAAAATACCTGCTAAGGCATCCATAATTGATATCTGTCCAGCATCTACTTGAACGCAACCCAGTCCATCTAAAGTCCTTCATTCTACTGTTGAAGAACTCTTATTTTTATGATGCTTTTCCATTGAATTGGAATCTGCCGTCTTATAATATAAGATCGTCATTCCATGTCCTGAACTCGGAGAAGGTGGAGACCACGTTAGAGTTAAACCATCTTCTACTTGTCCCTCTTTAGGCATTTGAAGGGTGTTATTCTCTCTCCACCCATTTCTTTGCAGAGTTAACATGGTCAATTTCCTCTCTCCTCCCTTGAGGGACCTCACATCCAGGCCCTCATTCATCCTTGCTGCCCTGCCCTTCTTTGAGCCTTTCCCAGTTTCTCTGAATCTTTCTTAAAAGTTGATGCTTAGAAATGAACACAGTACGAATTTGGGAATCTGGCCAGTGTTTGTGGAGAATAAAGATTGCATTTCCCAGAGGACGTGACCACCATTTCTTCCTCTGCTTCTACCCATGGAACAGTGTTTAAACATCCTTAAAATATAATTCTAGGGAGGATTTTCTCTCACTCTTCTAGGGATTTAGCTCTGGTTGGATGCTTTTTCAAGGTTCACATGTAAAAAATAAATTAAATCTAAATTAAATCTGGCCCCTAGCAGGTGGCAACATCTGGTTGACTTTGGCTGATCTTGAAAAGTTAAGACAACAAGGTTAGTATTTGGATGGGAAGAAAGGCATCAGGATGGTAGACTAGACTAAGAAGTTGAAGGAGAAGGAGAAGTCAAAGGTGAAGGTGAAGGAGGAGAAGGAGAAGGAGAAGTCAAAACTGAAGGCGGAGGTAAAGAAAGAGGAAGAAGAGGAAGGAGGAGGAGGAGGAAGAGGAAGAAGTAGTAGTAGTAGTAGTAGTAGTAGTAGTAGCTCATAGATGTCTCTGTGAAGTTCCCAGGAATCACCTTGTCCCAA